CAGACACACACACACACAAACACACACACACACACACACAGACACACACACACACACACACACACACACACACACACAAGACACCGTACAAATAGCAGTGTCGCCTTCCCCTGTTTACACAAAACGGTCAGACACACCTCCGATCCTCCAGTTTTATTTCTTGCGTGTTTTCATATATATCCATGAAAAACACCAGCGAATACTCTTCCATTCTGGATGGTTGGCGGGTGCTCTGGTGTGGTTCCCTCCCTTTTTTCTCCTATCAATCGTAATATTATATCGTTCGCCCTTGTCGTGTTTGGTAAGAGTTTTACGGCGCTTGCAACTGCATAAAGTCATTTGAGCGCCCATCCTTATCTCTCCTTCGTTACTTTGTACGTTTCTTTTAGTAACACTTCTTTTCTTCGGGTTTAAATAAGACTATAGCCTTTTTGTGTTTCAAGCACCGTAAAACTCTTACTAAAATAAAACAGCACCTCAGCCCATCCTTTCCCCACACCCCAAAACATAAACACATACTCCTATCTTTGTATTACGTTACTCTGTTGTAACACCTCTTATCTGTGGCACTTATATTTGACCTACTTGTTTTGCAAGTCCTGTAAAACTCTATAATAAAATTAAATGTTCCTCCTTCATGTCAGGAAGCCCTTATACCGGGTGACATTGCGGATAGGGTCGGGTCAGGTCGGGTCGGGTCGATCGCCCGACTCGTCGCCTGAAAACAAACTACGCTTTGCGTCCTCAATCTAGCTAGCAAACCGACCCGACCCGACCCGATCGTGCCGATGGGCACCCGGTATTAGACTAGCCACAAAAAAAACACACAAAAAAACCAAAACAAAACGAACAACAACAACCGTAAACAATGCAGTGACGTGAAACCCAAAACAAAACACTCCCATTCAGATGCGCATGCGTCTGGGCCGTTTTCCAAGAAGCTGCTTATTATAGACTGTTGCTCTTTCAGTGGGTCTACTCTGTGAACAAGTTATGCCCTATGTAAGTAAATCGTGGATGGTTGGAAGGCACCGTTGCTTGTAGGTAGGTCCTACCTACAAAATAATACTTTTACTTTCCCTCCACCGTTTCCGTCTGTCTACTTCTTCCCGAACACCATATTGTAGCCTTTATCGTGTCGGTGTGCTTCTCTATTCTCTGACATATACCAAGTCATTGGTTGGAGATCACAAAATAGCCGTTATAATAATAATAGCCGTTATTGTGACTGGCCATATGGGCTTCCGTTCTTTTCAAACTAAGTACATTTTCCGGCTGATAGGTTTGTTCCACCCCCCCCCCTTCCCGGGAGCGGTGCTACTGA